TGTTATGTTAATCACCATACATTACATCATTAGTTTTAGATGTAGTGTTCCATGATTCGTTGTTTGTGCATAACACCCAGTGCTCCATGCAGAACATGCCCTCTTTAATACCCATCACCAGGCGAACCCATCCCCCCACCCCCCTCCCCTCTAGGATCCTCAGTTTGTTTCTCAGAGTCCATATCTCTCATGGTTCGTCTCCCCCTCCGATTTCCCAACTGCTATGATATGCTCTCTCTCAAGGAAGGGAGGGAGAAATGATCCTCAAGACGTTTTCCTTCTTCTCTTCCAACTTCTACTCTTATGCCATTCCCACCACTAAATACTTTATTTCAGAGGTTCCACATAACCTTTAGCCAGCGGGTCATCCCCTGAAGACTGTTTACAGCATAAAGAAGTCTGATTGGTTTATGGTTTATGGATGTTGATGTGGAGGTGTGGTGTCTGTAGCTGGGTAGGGGTGACCCATCCTGGTAACTAGACTTGGAGCAGCACAATGTGTCAATTTTTCATTGTCCCACCCTTATAATTTGACCTCCCTACCGCTTTAGGGTAAGTTACTTAAAAATTAACAATGACCAGGTTACTGTGAGAATGAACCTCTAAACCCAGTTTGATGGGTTTGATATTAAATAGATCTGGTTCTCAGAAGTTACTGATTTTAATACGCACAGGTACTGATTCAGTGTTCAACTCAAACATAAACACATATGTATGCACATATATATTTCATAAGAGCAGGGTGGAATGTGAGTCAGGAAAACCCTAATTGCAAAGCTGATCCCATGCCAAAAAGCTTTAGACTATTCAATTACATAATTAAATTTTTTAAAAAATTTCTTTTGTCTTTTTAAATATTTGTTGAAGGAAGCAGTTAACAGCCTTTTGGGTTTTCAACCTTTTTTTGAGGAAACCTCCTTTTTGGAGAATGCTTTTCTTCATGTCATATGTAGGAATTTAAATTTATAATTTTTTTCAAGTTAAAAAATCTTTTCTTCTTAGTAAAGTGGCATGTCATAGGAAACTCTTATCTACAAGAGATTCACAGTAATATCAAAATTCGTAACTGATGCACCTACGCCTAATATATTAATATGTTCACTAAAATTGTGACACTGGTTTATCCTTATGGACAGCTGCTTAACTCTTCTAGTTAGAAATCTTAGAATCAGGATATATGCCTTTTGTTAAACAATTTTGCTGACACACTAATCTCTCTGTATACTCCAGCTTCATTCCAGAGTGCTCCTGTCAGAATTCTCCATCAAAGCTGTTCTCTTTTAAGCAGGAAACTGGAATCTTGGTGTTCATGAACCAAGACACTTACGTATGTCATGTACTTTTCACTGAGTTGCACCTTCCACTTTTACTGAGGCTTATTTCATCCAAATGGAAATCTCTTTGCTATTTATTGTTAAACTGTTGTTTAGACACGGTTTATTATGTTTCCCAAAGTCATCTATATAAACTCTGTTGTAATTGGTTTCCCAGGAAAGCAGATTTCAAAATGGCTGTTCCAAGGGAGGGACAAACCCCTGAGAGGGGCCATTCCCTTTGACAAAGAACAGTTTCTGGAGGCAGACTTGGGTCTGGACTGACAGCTGAGAAAATGAGTGCCTTTGTCCTAAAGGGGTCTATGGGCAATGTACCATAGTATCTACTATAGTCTACCCCTCTCACCATTCAGATCTACCTGCTTTGTATAATAATTTCATTCTGTATGGAAACAGCTTCTCTGAAATGCTTTTCCTAACAAAATTTACAAGGTTAGTGAGAGGATCTATCATCTCTACCATACCAATTGCTATCAAGGCTGCAATTGGTACTCTGTGGTAGGCTGGATAATGCCCCCCCAAAGACATCTACCTGTAAATTTTATTTTGCATAGCAAAAGGGATTTTTCAGATATAATACAGTGAAGGATCTTGAGATGGGGAGATTATCCTATATTATCTGGGTGGGCCCAATATAATTATAGGGGAGCAAGAAGGTCAAGGGCCTTCTTTGAAGAAGAAGGAGGTGGGCTAATGGAAGTGCAGATTTGAGTGATGCACTTTGAAGATGGAGGCTCATGGAGGTCATGAGCCAAGGAAAGCAGGGAACCTCTAGAAGCTAAAAAGATGTGGAAATGTATTCTCCCCTCAGAGCCTCCAGAGGAACCAGCCCTGCTGACACCTTGAGTTTTGCCCAGTGAGACTAAGTTTCAACTTTTGACCTCTGGAACTGTAGGTAAATAAATTTATCAACACAAATTCTTGAGCCGCTGAGCATGTGGTAATAAGTTAGAGCAGCAACAAGAAAGCTAATACAGTGTCTCTCCTCTACCACCTATTCTAATTCTTACACCTTCAGCTGGCATCTCTGCTGATTTAAGTTGCTTCCTAGTTCGGTGACTCATATGCCTCTCTCAGACTGTGATGGCTCCCTTGTCCATTTACCACCAAAATTGCTCAGGGGAATGCCTAGAGATGCTCCCATTACTTAATAGCAGCCCCACCTTTTCCTGATGATGTGGTCAATTACCTTTGCCAAGATGGGACTCCATTTTTTTTTTTTTCTGGTTTTTTGATACAGGAGCTCGAAGTGACTGAGTTCACAGGTGGTTCAGTATTCTACCCATAGGGAATTCAACACCATGTAATAGTCATTGTTTTAGTATGTATATTGCCTTTTAGAGGATTGTTCCTCATCCTCATAAGATATTAGGCTGAGTTGCTTCTTTGAAGACCTGCTCCATTGAACTATTAGTCCAGCAGTGTCAGGGCAGGGGAAAGAGATGTTATCATATGTGATAGGACTAATACATCCCTGATCAGGTGCCCACGGCTCTATCTCCTTTGCTATAAAGTGGTTCTGTAGTCTGAGGCAATGTTATGTGGGATCTTGTGTCAGCACACCAAATACTCTGTGATCCTTCAAATAGTGTCTCAGGCTTAGGCCCTGTGGGCAAGAAAGTCAAACCCAAACCTGGATCACATGTAAATCCCACTCAGTGTAACTGATGTCCCTTCCAAGGTGGAAAAGGTCTTATGTAAATAACTTGCACCAAATGATTGATTGGTGTTCTTATGGGATAGTGCCATTCTGGGGGTTCAGCATTGACCTCTGTTGCTAGCAAGTTGCATGTTTAGGTAATAGCAATATTAATAAGATCACCTTGGTGAATGGGAGCTTATGCTGTTGGGTAATGCATAGCTCTTATTCCTCACACCAAGATTATTCCATTTGTTCACCTATTGGATCACATTAGGGTGGTTATAATAAAGCCTTGGCTCATGTCACTTGGAATATAGTCTTCCTTTTGTCAATGGCATTGGTTCTCTTTTCTATCTATCCTTATGTATGTATTCTCTCTATTACATAAAATACTCTTCATTACACATGATGCTGCTTGATATTTGAAGATAATGCCATTAAAAGTAACTTCTATTTACAAGGGCAATTGTGACCAAAGATAAGTGATTTTAGCCCAAGAGTATTCTCTGTTATTTTTCACCCTGAGAATGGCTTTGGCTTTTCTATTGCTGCAGAGATTTTTTTTTTTTGAAAAGTTAGAATCATTTTTTTGCTCATTCATATTCTGTTTTGTCTCTATGACTTGGCTTCATAAGAACCTATTTACTGCATAGCAGGATTCTGTTCTGGCATAAGTAATAATTCTGATGCAGTAAAATAAAGAATACAGTCACAAACAAAGGAGGAATGTAAAAGAAAATATTCTAAAACTGTCTGCCAACCAAGTGGTGTTCATTCAAGGAATGTGGGGGATGGATTAATATCTGGAAATTTCATATTATACGTTTACATAACACTCACATATGTATGCTGGCTAAGAAAACATGCTTGGTTATCTCCGTAGATGCTAATAAGACAGTTAAAAATTAAAACAAATATATAAACTTTGACAATAGGAAGAAAGTGATGCATCCTATATGATTTTAAAATATTTACAGCATTTTCTAGCTTTTGACCATAAAATTTTAAATCAAAAGTCAAGAACTAAAACCAAGAACTAAACCAGTATTCTTGCTTTTATCACTTTTATGTAAAATAGCTTAGGAAATTCTAGCCAACACAATAAGCCATGGAATACATAAAAGGTATGGATCCAATACAGAAATATTACCAGAACATCCAAGAAAATGATCTGAAAAAATATCATAGTCAAGAATTGAGCTAAACAGCTGGGTACAAAATGAATTAAAAAAATGCAGTTTGACTTAATCAGCAATAACTAATTAAAAGTTCTAATGAGGAAAAAATACAGATTTTGTTAACATCCACAACAGAGACATAAAGTACACTGGGAAACCTCTTTAAAACTCTGTGGGGTTTACATGAAGAAAATGGCAAAATTAGTATTGTAAAAGAATTGGAAAATGGGACAAGCAAACAGAAAAGACAACTCTGAAATACAAACTGATGTGTATGAAACAATAACTAGGAACGGAATTATTCAATAAATGATGGTGGGAAAATTGATTAGCTATTTAGTAGAAAATGTTCATCTTTACTTCTATACACAGCAGATAGATTCAAGAGCTAAATGAATAGTTAAAAGATTAATTTCTAAAGTACCATATGTTAAATGTTTTAAGTTTTCTTTTTCTAATCTAGAAAAAATGCAAGAGAATTTTTATTAAACCTTTGGATGAGGAAAGTTTGAAGTTAAAAAACAAAGCCATTAAATGAATCACAGGAAAGCAAGGAGTACATATAGGGGGTTATTTGCGTGCTTAGAGTCTCTATGCCCAATACATAGAAGCTGTGAACATGGTTTTCCCAGGGCAGGGAACAGGGGTGAGAGGGAGACTAACTTTTCACTGTGAACCTTCCTTTATATCTTTTGTTTTTTTGTACCGTGTTCATATATTACTTTTTCAAAAAAATAACTCAAATTTCCAGTTTAAAAAAGAACAAACAATGAAATCCCAAAAGGTTGACAGATTTGACTCTTTAAAAACTTAGCACGTCAATAGATAACAGCAAAGAAACTAAAAATGATGAAACATGGAGACATATTCACAATCAATATGCCAAGTATTAACTTAATATCCTTGGTAGAAAAAGATATCAAAGGAGGATCCCAAAACTTGACGTCTTCTCGGGAAAAACTGACACAGGATACAGTGGGCAATTCCCAAAGGAAGAAATACAAATGGCCAATAAGCATGTGAAAATACTCAACCTCACTTCTGATCAAGGAAATTCCAAGTAAAACAGCAATGAGATAACTGTTTTTCACTGATCAAATTAGCACAAATTAACAATACTCTGTGCTTGCAAAGGCAATGGGGAAATCATGTTTTCACCCAGCTGATGGGAATATATATACATCAGTAAGACCTTTCTGGAAAGTAGTTTGGCAGTATGTATCATGAGTCTTAAAGATGTTCCTGTCCTTTATCTCAGAAATTTCCACTTCCGGAGAATCTAGACCATAAAAAATCTAAGTATGGAGGGGGCTTCATGCATAAGATGTTTACTGCAGAATTAGATACAATAGCTAAACCAGATAGTTAGGCTGGAGCTTTCAGTAGGACAGAGAAGCCCCATCACTTCCCATCTCTAACAGTACATGATGGTGTAAGGATCAGATTGCTTCACTGCTTGATTATATTTTCATTTTTGTCAGTCTGCCAGGCCATGGACCGACCAATTTTCCAAATTAAAGTGATGGGCCTATTTTTCACATTTAGATGTTCTGGAGGGTCATATTACCTCCCAGTAAAGATGATTAGATATTTGAGGGAGAATTAAATAGTTGAATGAAGGGAAATTTGGTTGGGGAAAGCTAACGTGGATTTGGTAGTTATTTGAACTGAAAAGAGAGAGCTGAGATGATGTGTTCTGTTGTGTAGAGAAAGAGAAGGAATGTTTATGAGGGGAAATTGGAGGATGATTTGAAACATTTCACAAAAATCACTGAAACGTCAGAGGAAAAAAGTCAACCCTGACCTGTAACGGACTTAGAAGCCGAAACAGTCTGAAAATTAAACCCACTTGGCAAGTGAATAATTAAGCTCCTTTGGACTCTCCCTGCTCCCTGGCTGTGGATCTGTGACAGCAGGAACCTGCTGTTTCAGCACATTTGCATATCACCTTGTCCACCAGATTCTCATCTCCAAGGAAGAAGGCCCTCATCGTATTGGGGCTTTCAACCTCACCCCTTAGCATACGGTATAGCATACCCATTTGCTAAGTGAATAAGTTGATATGTTGTCAGTCCTTTGAAAGATAACTTTCCAGAGTGTTATTTAACATGAAGGTTTTCTTTCAACTAGGATTACCAGACCAATAACAATGACCAAGCTGTGGTTGAAATCTGTATCACGCGAATCACGACAGCCATCAGAGAGACGGAGTCAATTGAAAAACATGCCAAGGCCCTTGTGGGGCTCTGGGATTCCTGCCTGGAGCACAACCTGAGACCCTCTGGGAAAGATGAAGACACTCCCCATGGAAAAATTGCTTCTGATATCATGAGTTGCATTTTACAGGTATGTCATTGTTCATCATCATGCTATTTGATACTGGTTTGCAACTTCGGTGAACACATGGTGTCTCTGAACCAAGAGCTAATGTTTCTCTAGCCTTTAGATTCTGTAAAAAGATACCACAAACCATCAATAGCTGAGCCCCACAAGGCTCTAGAGAGCCTCAATTGTCTGCAAGACACACTGTGGGGAATTCAAAGTAATACCGCAGCAAGCTCCAATCTATTTAGAGAGATAAGACATGTGCATATCAAAACCTAACATTAATGTATGCCAAGATCCAAATGATGAATACTGGAAAATTCAGAAAAAAAGACTTCTTTTATCCAAGGAGACCAAAGAGGGGGTGGAGTCTGAACTGAGGGACCATGAGCTTGGAATATGTGGAGAGAAGTGACTAAGTCATTTTTACATGTACTTCTATATGCATTGTGAATTTGCCATGATAATAATATTTGCCTATTCTAACTGCCTGGCTGGCTCAGTCAGTAGAACATGCGACTCTTGATCTCAGGGTCATGAGTTCGAGCCCCATGTTGGGCATGGGGCCTACTTCAAAAAAAAAAAAATTCCTTCTTCTGGTGTAAACATGAATTTGGAATTTGGGCTCAGCCACAAACCAATTATGTAAGATTGAAATGGTAGGGAAGTCACTTAACTTCCCAAGCCACAGTTTCTTGCCTATAAAATACAGATGAAATGACATTGTTTAGGACAAATTTTACCAACCAGTAAATGTTGGTGATGTTGATAGGTGTTTCTCAAAAGGTAATTCTGTGGTCAAATAAGTTTGGAAATACTGAATTCATTTTTCCCTTTTGGGTTATCATATGTTTCATAGCATATTAAAGGCTCTGAAAAGTCCTGCAATTAAGAAAGCTGGTTAATTTTGTTTAGTACAGTACTTTTGATTCTGATGTGCCCATGAAACTTCCTTTCCCCTCCCTAACCCCCAAAACAATGGTTTCTGAGCACAGCTCAGGAAATTCTGGTTATGTGGGAGTGTTGCACTGTGTGTGACATCTAATATTAGCCTCTTTTCTTCTTCCTCCTCGTCCTCCTCTTTGTTCTCCTCTCCCTCCCCCAACTCCCTCCCCCTCCTCTTCACAGTTATCTATACTTAAGTGGACCATGTTCCATTTTGTCTGTCTAGACCAGACACTGCTCTACTGAACAAAAGACTCTACACACCCTGTCACACTGTTTTTCCTTTGTCCCCAGGGTTAGGGATAGGAGGGGAGGAAATGGGGATTTCAGAAAAATTAGTGAAAGATTAATGCTGCATGGATATACAAAACAAAGACCTAATACACCTGTTCTTCGCTGATTATCTTAAATGTTATTGACATTCATCAGAAACATAGATTATCTTACTCCAAAGTGCCATTCCACAGACATTCAGACAGAAATTCACAAATCATCCATACTCTCTAGCTCCCACTGTGATTTCAAAACCATTTTTGAGTCTGGACTCTAGAGTGGCACTATGCAATAGAAATGGACAATAAGCTACAAACAGAAGCCACATACGTAATTTCAAATTTTCTAGTAGCCACATTAAAAAGAAGAAAAAAGGAACAGATGAAATTCATTTGATAACATATTTTCCTTAACCCAGTATATCCAAAATATTATTATTGCAACACATAATGAATATAAAAAATTAATGAGATATTTTACTTCTGTTGTATACCAACTCCTATAAATCTGGTGTGTGTTTTAGCACATGTTACTTTGGAGTGGTCACGTTTCAGGTGCTCAGTTACTTCCCATGGGTCGTGGCTCCTGTGTCAGCAGAGTTCTAGAGAGTCAGGAAGTCTTTCTGGATGGAGACCACATTTGAAAGGGTTATGAGAAAAGAGTGGCAATTTCACCAGGTAGGAAAGGTGAAGCGAGAGGATATTTCAAGCAGACAAAACGTTCCAAGCTTGTGCAAAAGTCCAGATTTGTGAACTGAGATCAAGGTCAAAGAATTTTAAGCAGGCTGCCCTTCAAACTTCTCCAAATTTAAAAATAAAGGGGATGTTTCATTCTGGGCGAAGGCATTAGGTCTCCTACTTAAAAAGGGGGTTGGAGCACTGGGTGTTATCTGCAAATAATGAGTCATGAAACACTACATCAAAAACTAATGAAATGGGGTGCCTGGGTGGCTCAGTCGTTAAGCGTCTGCCTTTGGTTCAGGTCATGATCCCAGGGTCCTGGGATCAAGCCCCGCATCGGGCTCCCTGCTCATCAGGAAGCCTGCTTCTCCCTCTCCCACTCCCCCTGCTTGTGTTCCTTCTCTCGCTGTGTCTCTCTCTGTCAAATAAATAAATAAAAATCTTAAAAAAAAAACAAAAACAAAAACTAATGAAGTACTGTATGGTGACTAACATAACAATAAAATAAATTTTTAAAAAGGGGCGAGGGTTGGAGGTGGGGAGCAAATAAAAACACTAAACTTGATGCTGATCAATGACTCCAAGGAAATGAATGTGTAAGACTATTGAGAGCAGGGCCCTAAGCACAGGCACTGATATTTTAGGAAGGGACAGAGAACGGGGTTACAGGATAAGCCTCTTGGTTGACAAGGACAAGTGAGTCACAGAAAGGGGCAACTCCAGGGGCGCCTGGATGACTCAGTCGTTAAGCACCTGCCTTCGGCTCAGGTCATGATCCCAGGGTCCTGGGATCAAATCCTGCATGGAGCCCCGCATGGAGCCCCACATGGAGGCTGGCATCAGGCTCCCTGATCCGCAGGAAGCCTGCTTCTCCCTCTCCCACTCCCCCTGCTTGTGTTCCCTCTCTTGCTGTGTCTCTCTCTGTCAAATAAATAAAATCTTTAAAAAAGGGGGGGGGCGGCTCCAGCCTGAAGGGCCAGTGTGGACACAGGCTCTTCACTGTGCACCCTTGGAGGAGGCAGAAGGTATTAAATGGAAGGCAGGGAGCCCTAAAGGCAAACTTGCTTTTTGGCAAAGTTCAGTGATCTGTGCAGGCCACCCTTGGGGATGTGATTCCAGAAAGTCAGCCCCAGGATCCAAAGGCAAAGCTGTGGTTGCAACTTTGCTGTGTAGCTTTGATCAAATTTTAAGGGAGAATTTTTGGGCTGTGGTAAATATTGAAAACACGATTTTGTATTACATATAATTTAGGATCTTGTGGGAACCATGTAGAAATCCAGATGACTCATATTCGGTTCTGTTTTTTCAGTAAAATAAAACCGTAGATTTTTTTTTAAAACTTTAAAGCCAACTGCTTAGCATTTGAGCTTGCACAAAACCCCCAAAACAACAAAACAACAAAGAAAGAGTGATTCCTTCTCCGCCCATCTACATCCCCAGATAAGCGATGCCAGAATCACACTATCAGGTGTGGACCTACCAGTTCTTCCCACATCCTTGGCCACTTTAACTCAAAATTTTTTTTTTCTGGCCATTTCACTATCATTTCAAGCTAAATATTTTCACACACATAGAAACCTTCTGTCTTTTTTCCCCCACATTGCTTTTTTAACCTACACTCCAAACCTACTTCAGGTGACTCCTTCCTTTTCCACTTTTAATTAGTAATTATATATTTAATTATTTCTTTTCTTGACCCCCTACATTTATGAACTTGCCACATTGACCTTAAAGCAGTTTTTAAAATTCCAGTATTCACCTTCCAACCATTCCTCAGTCCAAAATCAGTACCAGTACTCACATGTACTTGTGAGTTCTGGTTTCTTTTGCCTTGGGTGACATGTTTTTACAAACTTACCCCATGTCCTTAAACAAGTCTCACAACCTGTCCTTTATAAAGCAGAGGATGAACCAGATGATCTCTCAGCTCACCTTCCAGTCTAAAATTCTGACTCCTGTAGGAGATGCTGAGAGGTAGATTAGCAAAGAGCTTCGGAGCTTGAGGGCCTTCGAGTCAAATGCTCTTGGTCTTATATAAATGAGAGCTTGGCAAGTCATCAGAAAGTAATTATTTTTCTTTTTTTGTAGATGGACCAACTCTCCATTCACCTTGATTCTACACTTCAATTTTCTTATTTCCTCTTCAGTTAGTGCTATATAAGATTCAAAGTCTGTCCCGGGCTGGCCTTGCATGCGAAGTGCCTTGGGCATTTTTGAGAGCATTTCCTTTGCAGCTCTTAGAGGCAGAATTGGTTATCTTGATCCAGAATTTTATTCAGTAGGCAATCCCAGCTCTACCATTTACTTGCAGTGTGATCTTGGGCAATTTTATCTTTCTGTGCCTTGATTTCCTCATCTGTAAAATGCTGCAGCTGTCTCATGAGTTTGTTGTGAGGATTACATCGTCATTAGATAATAGACGTAAAATATTTGGGACACAGGAAATGCTGCATGAGTATTAATTCTGGTTGGCATTATCATCATCTGTAGAAAACTCTAAAATAGCACTCAGTGCTTTCTAACAAGCTATTCACTTCATTATTTATTTTAGCCATTGTTCATTGCTTGTTTCCCCCTCCCCAAAATAGAAGCTCTGTTTTATTGATGTAGTCCCAGCACCTAGAATAGTGAATAGCACACAGTAAGTGCTCAAAATAATATTTATTGAATGAATGAATGAATGAGGATTGAATAGATCAGGAGATGTGGCTGCCCTCTGGATTCTGCAGAACAGCTATGTTTCTCTCTAGAATGGCTCCCAGTACTTATTCGTCAGTTAATGCCACACAAGACAACGGCAAAAAAATGGGAGGAGACTGGGACACAACCGCCCAGGTTACTGAGACCCACTCTCTTATTACCTGTCTGAAAATACACTGGGAAAATTTAGGTGTATGTGCCATTTAGATTATATATATACCCATGCTGCTAAGAACCAAGCATTTTATATATAAATCCAAAATTTGCTTGATTATCTGATCAGTGATGCAGGGTGAAAAGCCATAAAACAGTGATTTTAATAAATGACACTTAATATTTCTTGAGATTACTCTTTTACGGCTTTTAGTTGAATTCAAAGCCCAAGAACCAAAGAGCTTTTTAGTTGCTATCATCTCAGATAGA